TCATAGATATTGTGTATTGAAATTGGGATAAATATTATTTTTTAGTTTGCTAGACTTTGTTGCAGGTTTGAATGTAATTTCGTGCTCAATCTTGAGCTCTAATGAGCATTTTATGTGTTGAACTCGATTTTGGACTCCTAGAGTTTATTTGGAGAGCCGAGCTCGAGTCGAGCTCGAACTTTCATTTTCATAAACGAGCCGAGTTCGAGCTTGCATATTAAAACTCGTGACGAACTCGAGCCGAGCTCGAGCCTGGAAAAATATTAACGAGCGGAGCCCGAACTATGACAAAGTTCGGCTCGGCTCATTAACAGTCCTACAAGCCTTTGCTGCCAAGGGTATGAGCTCCAGATAATGCAACAAGTTCTTTTGTCCTAGAATAGGCAAACAATTAAGAAAAGATATGCATCACATAACTTGAGGAAGTTTTCCTTGTGCATCAGGCTGGCTGTAGTTAAGAAAATTTTATCAGGCAAAGGGGCGGGGGTCGTGATTTCCGAACTCTGCCAAATTAGTGCCTCGGTTACATTGTTCAAGATCTACATGGTTACACAACTGGAACAACATAACTTTGAAAGTATGGACTACCCAATGTGGATTCCATTACGACAAAATCATGAAGGCTGGATCAGTACATATAATCGATTCTGCCCATCTGATCTGAAGAGGCCGGCATTCGTTGTAGGAGCTCAGCAGATCGAAACTGCTTCAGCACCAGACAGAGCAATCATGTCTGCGCATGATACTGAATTACTGATCACACAGAAAAGCTCATATTATTAGCAAGGCGCGCACCTGCCATATCTACCATGCATTATGATAAACACTTCCACTTGGGCATTCAGTCAGTATTCAACAGCCATTTCCAAGAGCAACAGGTTGTTTACTGTTGCCACTGCCATTTTTCAGCTCCCAATAGAAATGACCCCAACCATTTTCAAAGGAAACCAAAAGTTACACAGAGATGACACTGAAAGGAACCAAGGGTAGCTACACATGCTCAATGGTTGGTTAAGGTTGTTGAAGCAGAACGTGAGCACTATATTCCCACATGAAAATCAACTTTTGTCAATCAAAAGGTTCCTTTTAGCGATATTGGTAGAGAAGTTATACCTGATTTCCCAGTAATCTCAAAGGTTCCTGCATCATGGAAAGCAAGACGAAGCACACCGGAGGTCTTGCCCTTCCACACCACCTCCCTTACCTCTTCCTTTACCTCTGACCTTTTTGTATCAATAGACAAAGAATTGAATGTCTCCAGTCTCATTGCCACACTGTAACAAGCCTCACTAAGCCCAATGTAGGATCGTTAACGTGTAGTCCATGAAGGGTTATAAACAACCCTTCTCAATTCTTTTAATGTTAACTCAAAACTGAAAGTAATCTTATTTCATTCTTAACCATTCTTTTCATAAGTTTGTTATTTAAATAGTATATGATCGATAAACTTGCATAAGGTAGAAGGATCATCGAATAGATATGTTTAAACTTCTTTCATGACGCTAATGTTTCAATTTGTATGATAGTACTTGATCCTGCTGTAACTTTTGCATAATGAAGCAACTTCTCTGTATTTTTTCAAAAAGTATTTAAAAAAAATATTGAGGGTTTAGCTGAAAAACTATCAGAATTACTTTCTAATATAAGAGTTAATGGAAAATGACTAAAAACAATTTCTAACATAAAATGTAAATACAAATTCAAAAATAAAAAATTATTTAAAATGGATCACATTAGATTTATTTCATATTACATTATACTATTTTTTCATTTATTTTTCTAGAAAAAGAATAATATATGGTAAGTATAATTTTGTATTTTCAAATCGGAGCTTATGCTTTTATACGATAAACTTTCAGTTTTTTATAAAGCGAAGGTGTTTGGCTTGGTTTCAACTTTTGAAGCATAAAACTTCTAAAATTCGGCCAAACATAGTCGTACTCTTTTGGTTTTTTTATGAAATTTTTGGACTGATTGCAGGTTTAAGTAGGTTCAACTCGCATTAATCGAGTCACATTAGGTTGGATACCCATGAATTTGGGTTCAATTGTCTTTCTAAACAAAAGGAAAAAAGCGAAATGAAAAACACTAAAGCTAAAACTCGCTACCCACTCAAAACTCGTTAAAACCAGGTTCAACTCGCTTTGACCTGGTTGGACCGAGTTTTGGAAAAATTCACACCTGACACAACGCGCCAATTACAAAAACATATAAAACTCGCTCCCGCCAAGAATCTGTAAAATCGGCTTCAAGTTGGCCGGGTCGAATTAGGTTGTATACACATGCGTTTGGACTCAATTGTCATTCTCAACCAAAAGGAAAAAGATAAAAAATACTAAAGTGGATAAAACTCGCTTATGACCACAAACTCTCAACACTGCGTTCAACTCACTTTGACCTGGTCGACCCATTTTTAACAAATTCACAATTTACCCAACCTGTTAATTACAAAAACGGATAAAACTCGCTCTCAAGACGAAACGCGCCAACAATTGGTCAGAGTTCAATTGTCATTCTAAACGAAAAGGGAAATGAGAAATAAAAAAACATTTAAGCATACAAAGCTCGCTTTCGATCTAAAACTGGTCAACAATGTGTTCAACTCGCTTTGAACAATTTTTTAACAAATTAACACTTGGTCCAACCTGCCACCTACAAAAGGGGATAAACCTCACTCACAATACAACACTCGTCAAAAGCTTAGATTCAGGTTCAATTGTCTTCCCAACCAAAAGAAGAAAACAAAGAGAAATTTATAAATGCTAAAGTCGGTTTCAAGCCGCTTTGACTGGATCGAATTAGGTTGGATACTCATTGATTTGGGTTCAGTTGTGATCATGCTCAACAAAAAGGAAAAAGTGAAAGAAGAAAAAAATACTAAAGCGAACGAAACTCGATCCCGATACAAAACTCGCCAACATTGAGTAGATATGGTATGGATTTCGGTAGCGGCATTGGGTTCAACTGTGATCATGCTCAACAAAAAGGAAAAGAAAAATAAATAAAAAAACACTAAAGAGGATGAAAATCGGTCTCAATACAAAACTCGTGGTATCGACCTTGGAAAAAGATTATGGAGAACAACTTAGGGTTCCGCTAACAGTATTTCGAGATGGGCTGCAAAATGGTGGGAAAGGCGATGATCTGTGTTCAAGTTAGGATACCTATGTGTTTGAGTTCAGTTGTGATCATGCTCAACAAAAAGGGAAAAGAGAAAGAAAAAAAAGCACTAAAGAGAATGAAACTCGGTCCCGATACAAAACTTGTGGTATCGGCCTTGGGAAACGATGATGGGGAACAACTTAGGATTCTGCCGACAATATTTCGAGATTGGCTGCACAATGGTGGGCAAGGCGATGATGTGTGTTCAAATTAGGATACCAATGTGATCATTCTCAACAAAAAGGAAAGAAAGAAAAAAAATACTAAAGAGGACGAAACTTGGTCCCGATACAAAACTTGTGGTAACGGCCTTGATAAATGATGGTGGGGAACAACTTTGGATTCCGCCGACAGTATTTCGAGATGGGCTGCAAAATGGTGGGCAAAGGCGATGATTTGTGCAAAAAGCCATTGGCGAAAACTATACGTGGGCACTAGGTCGTGCCGCCCATAGGCTAGCACAGCACGGCACGAGCACGGGCACGAAATAAATGGACACGAAATAAATAGGCTAGCACAGCACGGCACGAGCACGAGCACGGCACGGGCACGAGCACGGGCACGAAATAAATGGGCACGAAATAAATTTCTTACACTTTAGTTTAAGGATTTAAAATAAATTAGTTGAACTCGAACAAACTTGTGATGATGAGCCAACGTTTTTAATAAATAACTCTACTCGAATTTAACTCGACTCAATTCGTTGATAAACGAACCAACCTCAACCTCAATTTGTAGCCTTCCTTCCTGTCTCCCTTTCGTTGGGTTTACCTGTTGCTTTCTTTTGCTGGGGTCTGCTGCTAGGGATGGCAACAAAACCCGAACCCACGGGTACCCACCAGACCCAACCCGGTCAACGCGGGTAAAATCCGTGTTGACGGGTTTTGAGCCGGGTTTGGGTTTAAACCCGTTTACTATTCACCGGGTTGGGTTGGGTTTGGGTTTAGGTAAACCCGACCCATGGGTACCCGCCCATACCCATATAATTAATTTTCTTTATATATTTAATATTCTAAACAACTAATCTTATTTATCTTTGTGGAGACATGTCCAATTTTTTCTTTCTAATTATGTAGAATGAAGTCGATGTTATCGAGTAGAGAGTGAAGAAACTTAATTGAAAGGAAGAAACTTTCAATTAATCATGTTATTTATGGATAATTTGTGATTTGCTTCAATTATCTTGAGTTTTCTAGATTGGTGTTGAACAATTTGTATAGTTAATTTGTGATTTGCTAGAATTTTCTAGAATGTGGTTTTATATATGGATAATTTGTATTGAGAGATTGATATTTGACTTTAATTTTGATAGAAACTTGTTATTATAAATTTTTACGACAAAAACCCGTGGGTACCCATGAACCCGCGGATACCCGGCGGGTTGGGTTTGAGTTTTTCAAACCCAATGGGTTTTACCCCGAGTTTTTTTCACGGATAAACCCATGGGTTTGGGTTTGGTAAAACCCGACCCATTGCCATCCCTATCTGCTGCACTCCTGGTGCAGCTTCCCTTTTTGTTCCTTTTTGTTCTTGACTCCAGGACTTTTGGTTTTTCTCTTTAATGAAATTATCACCATTATAAAAAATAAAAATAAAACAATCCTATACAAAGTAGAACCAACATTTTGCCCACAAGGAGTCAAGGACTACATTTATACTTTCGGAGCTCCTATTGTACTGTTGTAGAGTGTAGACAATCTAGCACAATGGTTTATGTTTAACTTGATAGAAAACAGAGTGGCATATTATGAAGACGATGTGATGTGCATCGTCATGTCTCGATCAAAATCCAAGTCGTCAATCCCAATTTTCAAACATCTAGAACAGAAACAGATAGCGGCCAAAGCACGCACTTATTACTTCAACAACCTTGGACTCTTGCAATTGTACTATGTAGTACTTCTCAGCTGAATCTAAGCTACTTTGTCAGCTTCCACCTTGCATTTGGGCGGATCTTGTTGTCTCCCAATGAGCTCTGCTAATCCCAGTTATGAAAGTTATCATTTTCATCATATGCATTATTAGACACTGGCTTGGTGGTTACTACCAGTACAAAACTTCTGATTCAGCTAACAATAACCTTATACATTGAATATTATACACAAGGAAATGCGATGGCCTCTCTATAACAACCAACAAAAACTGGAACTGTGTTATCTAGGCCCTGACAGCCGTACAGCAGACTGATATACATCACTGTTACAATCCGACTGGCCCGACGAAGTTCCTCCTTCGCTGATCGACTTGAAGATCCCCGAGTACAGCCTCGCTGTCAATGGAGATGAAGTTGGCGGCTTAGGAACAGGACATATCCCTTCCAGCATTTGCACAACTTTCGTCATCGACGGCCTCACGTGCATGTCCTCCTGTATGCACCACAACGCGACTTTGATCGCGGTGGAAACCCTCTCGTCTTCTTTATCGAGATTCAGTTTCGAGTCAAAGATCTCCCCCAGCTTGCCTTCCTCCATCATCTTGAACGCATAGGAAGGGAAATGAGACTTCTCGGAGGTCTCCGATGCGACAAAGTTCTTCCTCCCGCTGATGATCTCCAGCAGCAGCATCCCGTAGCTGTACACATCGCTCTTCTCTGATATCGCGTAATTCGTGATCCACTCGGGGGCCAGGTATCCTCTGGTGCCCCTCATGGTGGTGAAAACGTGGCTCTGCTCTCTGGTCATCAACTTGGCCAGCCCAAAGTCAGAGACCTTGGCAAGGAAGTTGCCATCCAAGAGGACGTTTTCGGGCTTGATGTCACAGTGGATGATCTTCACATCGCAGTCTTGGTGTAGGTAAGCCAGGCCTTTCGCTGTCCCTACCGCGATATCGAACCTTGTTCTCCAATCTAGCAGGAACTCCCCTTCTTGGTCTTTATCTCTTCGCCTGAAGATCCACTTGTCGAGGGAACCATTTGCCATAAACTCGTAAGCAAGCATACGATGGCTTCCTTCAGCACAGAACCCTCTCAGCCTAACCAAATGGTGGTGATGTATGCTTCCTATGATGCTGACCTCAGCTCGAAACTCTTTCTTGCCTTGTCCAATCCCTTCCAGCTTCTTTACAGCCAGCCTCGTCCCATCGGGCAGAACTCCTTGATAAACCGACCCAAACCCACCTTGTCCTAGCTTCACCGAGAAGTCATTCGTTGCAGACTGAAGCTCCTTGTAAGTAAACCGCATTGGCATCCCTGAAAGATTCTCCAGGAACATGTCGTCTTCTGAGGAATCCCCGTGAGATTCTTGGAATCCACGACCTCTCCTCTTGTAGCATCTAAATGCCACAAATAACAATGCGAGAATGGCAAAGACAGTTCCAAGAGCTATTGATATGATAGCACCAAATGGAAATCCTTTCCCGCCATTGCTTCCACCTCCACTCCCTATCCCTCCTGCTTTTACCTTGATAAATGCATCGAATCCTGAGGTCGAGCTGGGCCTTGTGAAGCTCCCCAGATCGTTAAATAGGAAGCAGGTTTTCGAGCTGTTCTGAAAGAACATTGCGAGGCAAGAGCAATTGCTTGTGCAGGAAGACTTGCAACTTTCCAAATTGGTCTTTGCAAAAGAAGGCTGCGCAAAGCTGAGTGCGAAATAGCTCAGCTGATCCCCAGCATCCACGAGTTCTGTTGACATTTTACATGAAGATGAACCCACAGCCGGGTTGCAAGTGGGCTGAGAGCTGAGTGGCGAAGGACACTGACAGACATTGTTACCAGAACAAACCAGATAAGCACCACAGGGAAGAGGTCTACTACACGGATCAGCCGGTATCTTTGTGGGAGCAGCAGCAGCTGAGGCAGTCACGTCGAGATTGTAGAACGAAACGAACCCATCATCGCCCATGACTGCAGCCCATGTAGCATTAGCTGATGAACTATCTGAGAAAATGAACTGTGAAACTAGAACCTGGCTCGAATCATAAAGCTTCCACGAATTGCCTTCAATGGTTGCCACAGAGACATCACCACCATTGCTGTTGATGGTCTTCCGATTGTCGTTCTGCATCGACCAGTACTGCTGGGGAGTTTTGAAGCCTGCAGAGAGAATCAGATCTCCGGACTTGATCTGGAGTATGTAAGTCAAGTTGGTAGAGCTACTAGGGTTGCTTACAAGCTCCACTCCTTGACCAAAATCCTGGCTTGTTATGAGAGTATCAGTTGGATGGCTAAAACTCTGCCAGATTAGCTTATTGTCGCTACCAAAAAAGGCCAAATTGCCTGAATCAAGCATTTGGATAGAAGAAACTGGCTTCCCATTGGTATCAGGATTCCAAACTATACTTCCCCCTTTCTTCAATGCAACTTTACCGGTCTTGTCGAAGGTGAACTGATCGGAATTGGAAATCGGGGACCCTCGATTGGCAGTCCATATGACTTGAGTACTGCGCATGTGGATGATAGCTAGTAGGAATTCGGTAACATCGGTGGTGGTTTTGAAGCCAAAGCCGTAGAGTGAGTTATTCGAGACCAGGAAGATTCCGGAGTTGTCAATCCAATTCATTTGAGCACCTTGAAACCCTGGATCCATCTTGCCCACTAACCGGACGCTAGCTGTGCAATCATCGCACAGGAGGAGGAACAGCAGCAACGGAATCGAACCCAGATAGCATCTGGCCATGATTAATCGAGGGTAGCAACCAAAATATTCAGGCGAAGTGGGAATTGGCTTCATAAAGAAAGCCTGGTTTCAGAAGAAGTGGCAAACCCCTACAATCTCAGAGGCGGAATCGAGCAATTATAGTTCCTGAAATTCAGAAGAAGTGGGAATTCGATTGAAATGAAAAACTTGGGTGGTTTTCCCCAGAAGCAGGAAAAGTTTCGAACTTTAGGCTGATGGTGACGAAATGAAACCCTTGGCTGGGGGGAATTGAGAGACCCAATAGGCAGAAATAGCTGAAATGAATGTAAATGGGCGAGACTCATGTGATGAAACCGGGGACGAACCTTGGAAAAGGCAAGTCAAATTGCAAAGAAAGAGACATATCACAGCTAGCTAGCACTCAGAAAACAGACAGAGGGGATGAAGTTTGACGCAGTCTCTCACCTCATATTTGGCGGAGACAAGTGGGGATTTTTAGTTACAGGGATGGGCTTGCTCTGGATTTTCCGAGGAACTCAGCTCCCTCCTTATGTCACGAGCTCGAACAAGAAAGAGAGAGGTGAGGGAAGGGAAGGGAAGGGAAGGGACTTGGGAACATGGGAAAAGGGTTCATTCAATTGGTTAGTTGGGGAGGTGGTGAAAAGCTTTCAGCAGCAGAAGGCAGAAGATGCCAAGAAAGTCGAGAAATTGGGTTTGACAGATGGGGAAAGGGAAACAGTGTTTTTTCTGCTTCCCTCTTTGTTTGTAGTTATCTGAAATTTGTGTGCGGTGGGTCTCTCTCGAATCTCGATTGTATTTTAGTAGGGAAAGTGCTCTTCTTGCACACGGCGGTTTCTGGTATCGGGGACAGAGAAGAAGAAGAAGAAGAAGAAAGAAGCTCTGTGGGTGGAGAAAAGGGACGGGGAAGCAGAAGAAAAAGAAGAGGTCAAAGGAGGAGAAGATCCCTATGGTTCTTTCATGATGAAGAAAGAGAGTTTCTTTCTTCTCTTATTATTACTCTGCCAAGTTTTCTAGGCCCACTCCACGGTGTTGAGTTGTTCTTATTAATTTACTGCCAGCTGGGTTGAATCTTGGATTTGGACAAGGAGAACATATTTCTAGTATTAAAAGAAAAGAGTTTGAAATTCTGATTAATGAATGATGTAGTTGGTCTTGGAGTAAAAATTGACGTGCAAGTTCGATCAAAAAAAAAAAATTGACGTGCAAGTTACCATCAGCAAAGATTGAGGGTACAAAACCAAATCTTATCAAAGAAGTTTCAAATAAGTCAAGCGGGAAAAATATTGTGCTGGTTAAAACTAAGTAGGAGTAGATGTCGGTGTGGTCGGACCACTTCAAATCGTTTTTGTGGTTAATCAAAACCACGTCGTAAAGCTTGTGGTTTCGCTGGCTCAAGATAGGGTGCATAACAATAACCAAATCTGGATCTTTTATTTAGAAAATCCAGATCTAAGGATAGAGAATTAAAGACCATTTTTATTTTTTCTAGTTTTCTTAATTGACTCATATCTTTTTCGTTTTAACTCGGATTTTAATTTTTTTTCACAGATGGAACGAGTTCATCGTGCTCTACAAAATGAGATCAATTTTCAATATTTTTTGAGAAAAAAATTCTGGCCTCTCGGTACCAACTGCATACCATATGGTATCTTCTTCGTTTTTAATTCGTTTTTGAAAACGTTTGCACAGAAAGGATGAGTTCATCATGATCTATTGGATCTACAAATTTCTGGGTGAAAAAATTACAGGACCAAAAAATACCACACAATACCATACAATACCACCCTGGTACGGGGTGGTATCTTGTGGTATAAAATGTTAAAAGTCGTAAATGACAATTAATATACTTCTACTATCATGTATTCAACCATCCTACAGTCTTGGTTTGTTTATACCACCATGGTACGTTTTTCAAACCATAGATATGCTTTTATTTCAATACCAGATGGTATAGACTGGTAAAAAATGGCTCAATTTTTTTTGTTCGAAAAATATATCAAAGTGGATATCATTTTGAAGAGCACAATTAATATGATCTAACTGTGCAAAAAAAAATCGACTTAAAATGAGTGAGAAATCGTCCGTCAAAGATTAAGGAGTGGAAAATTAAAGGTTTTACAGGAGAGAGATGCTGATGTCATGTTGATGTGGACGGGTTACTCATGGTTACTCACCATAAGGTTACTGACCTGATCCATTCCCGGTTTCGCTTGTGATCTAATTATTAAACGGTTCTTAGTTTGTGACATAGATCGATCGAAACCGCGCTGTTGCGAAAACTGCAAACAGTTACTTTCAATTTTAGTTGACCCCAAGCCAACTAAAGGAAACCAATGGATCTGTATTCATTTGTATCATGGTTTTCGTTGTTTCGCCATGAACAGTTCGGCTACGCCGGTGTGATGCTCCTCCTTCCTGAACCTATTTTCCGAACTTATTTGCATTTTGTATAGGATAAAAAATATCATGTACCACTTAAATTGGGAATTGGAATAGACATATCACTTAACTTTGAATAAGGCACCAGATACCATTAAAGACCACAAAATGTGCATTTGTCTAGTTTTCCATCAAACCAAAAAATTTAATTATCTTTTGATACCCAAAACTTTTATAAAAATCCAAAACTATATTTCAATAAATATTAACTAATATAAAAATCAGAAAACCTTCTAAACCTAGTATCACTATATTGGCTAATGAAAAGTTTAAAAAATAGATAAACTAGTAAAAATAATAAATGAATATCAAGAAGGAATAATAAATATACTAGAAGATAATAACAAATATTTAAAATCAATATTAGAAGATATATTTAAACCTTTAAAATCCAATTAAAAGCACCACTAAAAATAGTTAAAATAGAACTGAATCTACCATTAATACATCAAGACCAAAGAAGGATACATGGAACACAATAAAAAAGAATTAAACATATTCCAGTAATTGGAAAAAAAATTAGAACGAAAAATAGACGGAAAATAACCAAATAATAAGTAAACTATAAAAACTACAACATTCAGTAACAAATCTAGAAAAGAAAAAATAACTATAGTAAGAGAATTAGAATTAGTAAATTTAACTAATGTGGAGCATCTATAATATAATATTAGAGAATTACAAGGAGATTTAACATGGAAAATTACACAACACAGAGAACTAAATATAACATACTCGGATTATTTATATGGAGACGACATTCATAGGATATATTTGCTTCAAAGAATAATTCAATTATTAGAACACATAATGATAAATGAAAATACTTATAATGACAGGGTCAGACTCGTGTGCTCCTGGAGCATACTATGCTCCATGTACTCATAGTGAGATATTTCTATCTAGACCATTAATTAAACCGAGTTTGGGGTATGATACTATACCCTAATCTCAAATGGATAAACCCCAGGCCCCGATTTTCTAATCCAAACCCAAAGTTCAATTTAAGAGAAAAGAAGAGTTGACCGTTGAGATTGGTAGGAGCTAATCCATGTAAATCTAACGGCCAGATCATTTGGAGCATACCAGTTGTCTCCTATAATGATAATTGATTCTAAAATTTCTACTCAAAAATTGGTTTGGTATTAGAGTTTTCAAAAGAGGATTCCAACTACACAATAAAAAAAAGATGATTTTCATAAGTCCAAACAAAATTTACAATAAGAAAAGTAGAATAACCAATTCTGAAATTTAGAAAGCAGAATATTTCAAGAATATTATGTTAACTTTAACAAAATGCACTTAACAGTAAACTTAAGTGGTACCGGATGCACATATAATTGAGTTCAGTTGCACGCGATGCCCTATTCTTATTTAAGTGGTATGTCTCTCCCAATTCTCATACTTTAGTGGTACCCGAAGTATTTACCCTGCGTTCATACTTCATACATGCGATTGCAGTCCAAACACACATGATCGCTAATTAATGCCTTTCGGTTAGATCATACCAATTAGTTCGCGATCTTATATGCAATGTTATCCAAATAATAAACGATGCAATGCAGTTTATATAAATATGGTGAGATGTAGTTTGAACTTTGAACCGCACCATTTTCAGCCCCTACTTAAAAGAGTATTTGAGTGGTTAAAACAAAACCAAACAGGCTAGCACAAGATATACACGGAGGAAAAGGTTATAAAATATTACATACTGTACTTTGAAAGTCCTACCTAAATAATAATGAAAAAAACAGAAGTAATTAGAAAATCCGTACCTTAATTCGATCCATCGAGGTATCTTGGAGATATCCAATATCACATTGCTCCACCATGATCATCGGATACAGAAAACATCAAAACATTATTCTAGTACAGCAAATTCGAAGTGGCAATATTCGAAGCAGGCTGTGTAGTTTTTTTTTTTTTTTTTACAAAAGATAATCATATATTGATTCAAAAAATAGGCAGCTACACCCTGGAAGACAGCCAGGTCTGAAAATCAAAAGAACAACTCATGGCCGGATACAATGAAAAGGCTTTCTAGCCACCAAATGCTAAACCTAATGCTAAACCTAGGCATGACATGGAGCCAATTAGCAATTTCTTCAAGAACAGCACCCATCCTGTTATCTCCATGATCCCCGCGATTGAGTTTGTCAATAATGACCTTGGCGTCGCCTTCAAAACGAACATCAATAAGGCCCAATCCCTGACACCAAAGCATAGCCTCTCGAAGCACCAACAGTTCCACAACCATCGGATCATCAATACCCGCAATTTGCACACCCGTGGCCATATTGATCACCCCTGTAGGAGACAGAAAAACCATTCCTCCCGCCGAATGGGACCCCCTACTAATGGCCCCATCCCATCTACAGACCATATGCCGATCACCCCCCTCCTCCAGCGAACCAGAGTTAGGGGAAGGAGCCTGAGCGACGGAGCAGGCAGGCAACCAAACCCATTCCTCATACTGCTGGATAAACTGACGCATCAACACTGGGATCCCAAAGAAGGAGGGCACGATGGTCAGAGCCCTGATCCGTGAAATGTTTTACCAATGTTTCCGGGAAGCGTTCAATCCGCGGATGGGAGCACAGAGCTCGATCCAGGCGTTCACGAATACAGGCAGCCCCCATTCATCTGTTTGTCCAGGTGAATTGGTCACCCTGATATCCTGGGTCATGTAGACCAAGGTTCTGAACAAAGTCTCGAAGGCTTAGAGATCGAATAGCATTCCAAGGCATCCCACCATCCTTCTCCCCCTCATACAGAGTAGAGTTAAAGTCCCCAATGACAACGTAAGGATGGCGGATGTTATCACAGATTTCACGCAACTGGGCCAATTGAGTGGCACGGACAGCAAGATTACAACTGATGTAAACGAAAACTACCACATAGGAAGAATCCATTTCATTAACTTGAGTGCAAATACAAAAATTTAAGTGAAAAAATACCGAAGCATCGACTTCAGGGGACCAAGTTACTACTAAACCTCCAGATGCCTCAACCGTATCGACAAAGAAGCAACAAGAAAGATCAAAACCTAACCCCAGCATGCGATGGGACACTACTCGCCGGCTCGATCGAGTCTCCGAGAAGAACACAAGATCCGGTTTATTGGAATGAACTAACCCTACAACTGTTTGGAATGTGAGGGATGACCCAATTCCTCTACATTCTAGGCCAGAAGCCTCATTTATTCGATTGGGGCCATTTAGGGCTGGCTTCCTCCACCTTTTCCAGATCATCATTATCTTCCACAAACTGCTTCTTTGGAGTGGGAGACTCAGTGATAGCCCCGTCAATATTATCCAACGATCGCTTGATACCCCCAATGGTACTAGTACAGATGTTGGATCCATAGACGTTAAGTCCCAGCAGGCCATCCTCACTGCCACTCACCTCCTGCTTCTGGGACAGGTCCAGGGAACGAGGCCGAAGCACCCATTTCTTGAGTCTCCTCTCGAATGCCTGGACCACCTGCTGAACACGGCCAAATTGAGTCTCCTCCGCCAAAAGATTGTCACCATGTTCCTGACGTCTGATTTCAAAGGATTGGTAATCCTCCTTAGAGAGTACCTCAT